GACTGGTGACTTCTGACTTCAAACTACCCTCACTCAAAGTCATACTTGACCACTTCCACAGTTCTCACCCCAACTTATCATTTTCCCTGCATTTGTGTCTGTCTCTTTAACATCGGTGAATCACTCTTCTGTTCCCCTCTCGAATTTTTCCCACTTTGTTGTTCCTCTTATCTGTGAAGCCCAAAGTCAGCTAAAGGGCCAATGTCAACTATCAAAATGCCTGCCATTTGAAATGAGCAAATGATTCTTAACCCTAATCAAAGCGTAGACTTGATATCGTGTTATATATCGTGAAAGGAGCTTTATTTAACCAACTTAATAATTACTAATAATTTGGAGGTGTAGCTACAATTCACTGAGCAATAATTTATCTACTATTAAAAATATGTTATCTCCTTTCGTTCTCAAATTAAGGTTCAAATTTTAGGAGATTGGAAAAAGTTGAGAGGACAACAGCAGTAATACTTAAAAACTTTAATTGGCATCCTACAGCATTAAATACCAAGACCAATTTAATTTGAAATCCAAAATTTAAAATAATAAAAATATTTAGACGTTAAACATTCTGAACATGATGGTCAAAGAGGAAAATGTATTTTTTGGCTTTAAAGTTTGATCATTCCGATGAATCAACCAAGTGATTACCGATAATTAAACGTAGAATTCACGCCTTACCTTTACTCTCAATTAATTAAAAAGATTTGATTTTTAAAATAATTTATTGGAGAATTCTAGTAGAATATTCCTTAACATATCATTTGACGGAAAAGAGTTGTCTGACTGACACGCCTTAAATAAACCCATCTTACATGTGAAATTAACCAATGTAATAATTAGCATAAAAAGCTACGTTTTAAGGAAAAAAAACAGTATTTTATTTAATAGTTATTTTTTAAATTTATATTTATTTATTTCAAATAACAGGAGTGATCCAGAGATGTAAAGAGACAGACAGACACAAAGGTAGAGAAAAGGTAAAATGACATACGGTGGGGTCATAGTAGTTAGAAGTTAGAAGTCAACTGCCTGTTAATAGACTTTATTGCCGTATGAATATACGTTGCCCAGGGTGTACCACGTGGAAGTAGGTCTATCGCGCACCCAAAATTAAGTAATTAGTTTAATTTAGCATTATATAAGGTAGGAAAAACATTAATATTAACCACAAAGAAAAGTAATAACTGAATATTACTTAGCAACACCAAAGCATTAAATTCCTGATTGAAATAAGGCTCAGTTATTTTAATTTTTAATTTCACAAAGGAGATTTTATTATATTAATTCAGAGAAGGATAGTTTATTGAAGAAATGAAAAAAAGCAAGTTCTTTGCATGAACAGCATTTGATGGTTTAAGACATCAAGCCACCGCATTAATAATTCCTCCAATTTTAGAGGGAATTTCGTTATTTTCTCTGTTGGGAAAAAATATATTGAAATAATTTTAATACAAGTGCATATATTTCACTATTTACGTTGGTCAAAATGGAGTTAAATGTGACTGAAAACCAAAAGATACCAGTAAATTTAAAAATGGCCTTTGAGCAAAAAAATCACTTTTGCGCATTTTTTCTTTGTATAATTCAGGGTTGCTGGTTATGCAAATTTTAATTGAGCTGACTATATTACTTGTCCACTAGACTTTTAATTTTATACCGGGGTTTTGAATTGAAGTTTGGTGTTTGTCAAATGGGGGCGTGGTAATTATCAGTTGTGAAATGATATTACTAATTTCCTATTAATAACACCAGTCAATATGTCATTATTTAAATAACCGACGTGACACAAGCAATTCAATTCAATTTTGAAAACATTAGCCCTTTAACACATGAAATATTTTTTTATGTTTTCTACTGTTACGATTTTAGAGCAAAAATGAGCTTATTTTGAATGAGGACAGTACGGATGACTTATAAAAATGAAAATCACGTCTGTTGAAAGGTCATTAAAAGTAATTAATTTTAAAAAAATTAATGCAAAGAAGCTTTTAATCTTCCTACCATGGATTATAGGTCTTTGTTTAGATATAGAATCCGCCAATCGCAAAAATATGTTAATATTTTTTCCACAAAAATGTAAATTATTGTGAAAAATTAAATTAAAAAGACAAACTTCAGGGAAAAACGGTTAATTTAAGAATTGAAAAAAAACAGTACTGTATTTTACTACGAGTCTCTTGAGATCACTTGAATAAACTGAAATCTACTATTTAACTTTTTACCTACCAGGGGAATAGCATCAGCTGAATTAGAGCGCCAATTTCAACCCTTTTTGATTGTCAAAATAGCTAAAAATTTTGGTAAAAAATCTGCTTTCCAAAAACATGTTCACAAATTTTGATTTTTTTTGAAATGTCATAACTCATCTATTTGATTCCTTCGCTTTGTCATTTGTACAACGCCAACTAATTTTCGAAATCATCTTTCTCCTTGTCAATGTGGGTATTGAGTGTATTATGTTAGCTATTGATAATAACTCTAAGAATATTACTAAATTATCGATTAATATCTCAATTCTAACCATATGTTAACTGTTGGTCATTTGAATGACAGCCAATGGAAATGAATTCTATGATCACTTCTAGAGGTATGTCTATTTATTCGCATGCGGTTAAGTTAAAACACAGGAAAAAGATTTTTCGCTACCGTTCTAGCTACCACAAAAAGATGAAGTTGGAACTGAATTGAATACCATTCAACGACAAATCAAAATATGAATTTCAATAATTACTAAGCATGTTCTTTTGCGCAAAGTAGAATTTCACTTTTAGCCGTCTACTCACTGTCATTAAAAGTAATATGTGCTCTTAAAATTGTTCAAATTGAATACTATGAATTACGTCGCACTCTGCACAGTTCAAAGTGAAGTGCAATAGGCTTTTGATTATGCATTGAAGGCCTGCGTTTTTCCGTCCTCTGCTTGATAAATCGGCTTGCCATCTAAGATTAACCTATTATATGCAAGGAAATTAGCGCAATTGGCTGTCAATGGAAGAGGTGGAATAGATAAATAATTATAATAGGAGATTGGGATGAGACCGACCACCACTCCCCCCCTCTCCGACGACCATGACAGCAGACGCCAACGACCTACCGCCGCGCCTTCGGCACAGAGTTAAATGTGTAAACCATTCCACCTTTGCATTCCTCACGCATTCATAATTATTACTTATTAATATCGTAAAGGTAGCATTAATTCACCCTTAAACGGAAACATTAGCTGGAGATACACGTAAATGCGTCGTTTATTTTTAGGGAATATTTCTGTTAAGGTAAAATTTTATTGACATTTTCTTTCTGTAAAATTTAACCTTAAGGCACATCAAAGTATGAAAGTAAAAGGTGATAATGCCATAGCAATAAAGATTAAATTAATATTTTAATATTATTAGTACTATGATTAACATCGGTACTGCCGCTTTAATCGCCAAAAATGTAGATGAACTGAGTGAATTCAAATTTGCAGGACTTTTTTAGAAAATGAGGCAGTCAAAAATATCAATACTAAAGGGGTACTGGGAAATTTATTTATAACAAATGGCAGGCGTTTTGATAGCTATCGTTAGCCCTTTAGTTGGAAGCGTTTTGATGGTTATCATTAGCCCTTTATTTGACTTCTGGTGGCTTCACAGAGGGGAGGAACATCAAAGTGAGAAAAATTCAAGAGGGGGAACTACAGAGGGGAGGAGGAGCATCAAAGTGAGAAGAATTCAGGGGGGGGGGAATAGAAGAGTGCTTCAACGATGTAAAAGAAACAGACACAAAGGCTCAGAAAGGGTAAGATGAGTACTGTGGTAGGGGTCGAATATGACATACAGTGAGGGTGATGGTTGTTTGAAGTGAGAAGTCAACTGCCGATTAATAGATTTATTTGCCGCATGAGTATAGGATGCCCGGGGTGCACCACGTGGAGGTATGTCTATCGCACACCCCGGGGTACTGGGAAACAGAATGATGTCTTCATAATTGACAGGACTAAATATCAGCATTTGCAAGTTCTGTGTCAAACTTCGGTCAAAATTCACACACTATCTTGAACTTCTCCAAGGGAAAGAAATTTAGTGTTCAAAAATTGCTGGACAAACATAAATTTACTATGTCTAGAGAAACTGTGAATTCTGTGCATTCGAACATTCGGGAGTGTGCAGTTTTGCGTGTAGAGGCCTCCTCAGCTAGGCAGTTATTAGTGTTCATTCGAGTTATGTTAAATGTAATTCAAATATGAATCGTGTTTACTGTGGGACCATAACTTCATCAATCACTATACTCGATTTACGTTACCTACTTCCATAGCATTGCAATAGGTTAAGTCATTTCGAGAGTCTATATATGCAAGGTTAATTTGTGCTGGAAATTACTGAGATTTAGGTCAGGCTTATTCCTACAGAAATTTGGTACAGTTCTCTCAGCCTGGTGATGCGTTTATCTAACAATCAAAGAATTTACAATATTCTGGCGTAAAACCCATTTAACCACCTCAGTTAATTCGAATGCACTTCGCTCAAATGTTTATTTGGTTTATAATAAAAGAATATCAATTGTTCAGGCATAAGACCTCTTCAGGCGCAGGGAAAAAGGTAAGGTGAGGTGAATACTGTACTGAGTGGTCGAGTATGACCTGAAGTGGGGTCATGGGAATTTGAAGTCACAAGTTAACTGCCCGTTTTGTAGACCTTTTTGTTGCATGAGGGATAAATATGTGTAATCTCGACTGCAAAGTTCGATTAAGTTTAAAATTGATTCCAGATGGATTAGGGAATCATTGAAGCACAAAGTGTATTGATATTCTTATTTTTAGAATATATTATACGAAAACTAATATTGATTGTAATTGCGATATTTTATGTTAGGTTTCTTTGTATTTCTTTTAGGACATCTCACGATTTAAAAGTGAAAAGGCGATTTTTGGAATGTCTATATTAGGTTTAAATTGAAATCAGCACAACTCACAAATTTTGAATAATATTAATTTTAAATATCCCGTTAAAAATAACCATCACTAAATGGATGGGAATAGGAACATTCCAAGTTCATCGTCACGGACTGGTAGGGAGAGGGAAGGCGATCGTCGAAGTGCGGCCCTAAACTTAATAATCAATAGAAGCGCTCAATGTGACATCCGAAACGTGGCTCTTAGAACCGAACTGAGCACATCAGGTGCCGGAAGGCCTAATAGCCCTGATCACCATTCCAAGATGGAGAGTGATCTGCCTGTTCGACGCATTACAAGAGGCGGAAGGGCAAGTCATATTTCTCAACTCCCAGCAATAAGACGCATTTTTGACCAAACATTGTTATATTTTTTCCGCTTACAATAGGTTCCAGACTACAAGTTAATCCGTTGCAGGCTTTCCCAACCTCGTCGACAACAGCGGTTTAGAACTTTACAGTGCTGTGCTTTTGAACCAGATCCAGTTTATCCCGAATTGACCAATTCTATTGCTGCAATCTGCGGCGCCGAAGCCCTCTATTTACTTGATTGCTCAACAGGAGTGATGATGTACGAAAATTTTTTTCCGGAAGAGGTAAGTCTTCTAGAGCCTTTCCGATTATTTTTTTGATATATTTTAACTTCTTATTGTCACATCAACTTTAAACAAATTATTTAATGGTGAATACGCCTTAACAATGAATTAATATTTCATCCAAAATATCGTAAAATTTACTTGATTTCAGCGGAAAAAATGGTGTTTTTATTAATTTTTGCGTTACATAATGATTTGCCTATTTCCGAAAATTCGCCAAAGGCGATAAAACGGAAAATTTAATTTCGTGAAAATACCTTTGGCAATAATGCAGAAATGAGAATATTTCACCTAAGAAGAACATATACATGTATATTAGGATGGCCGAACTTTTGGAAAATCCCAGTAAGTGTTAAACACTAATAGGAAGTTATTATTATTATTATATCAAATGGCAGGCGTTTTGATTGTTATCATTAGCCCTTTAGTTGACTTCAGGCTTCACAGAGGGGAAGGAACATTACAGTGAAAAAAGTCGAGAGAGGGGGGGGGGGGAACAGAAGATTGTATCAAAGACGAAGGTAGATAAGGTGGGAAAAAGGTGGGATGAGTACTGTGAAAGTAGTCGAATATGACATACAGTGGGGTGATGGTAGTTTGAAGTGAGAAGTCAACTGCCGGTTAATAGACTTCTTTACCGTATGAGTATGCGTTGCCCAGTGTGCACCACGTGGAGGTAAGTCTATCACACACTCCCCTAATAGGAAGTAAATAATTCTAAATAAAATCAATATTTCTTGCCACGAATGCCATGCGTATTTACTCTGTCTTAAAGAATTTTCGAGCACTGGCATGGACAACACTTAAACTGCACAACGGAGAGAACTTGAACGTACTTGCCGCCGGTGGAGATATGAGGAGCATTCGTCTGCTTCACTCTCCCAACTTAGTTACTTACGCTGTCCTATTGGGACATTCATTTGGGATAACTTGCCTAACTTTTCATCCCAAAAAACCGAGCCTTCTCTTCTCTGGCGATCGTCAGGTACGTCTTTCTGCAAAAAAAACCATTTTTCTTGTTTTTGTTTTTTGAGAATATTAGATTCTTTTGCCATTTCAATTTTTGCAGGGCTACGTTTATGTATGGAATTTAGGCATTCCAACCAAGCTTAACTGCTCTAACACGCTTTTAATGCAGTTTAAATGTCCTTGTCCAGATTTCTACCCAATCCTGAATCTCGTTGTCATGCCAACTTATGACACTCTTTTGGTCAGCTGTGGAGATAGCATTTTCGCGTGGGTTATTAACGATCTCAGGCAAATTTCCCAAAAGGAAAAAGAGTATAGTGAAATATATATCATTTTTTTGCATTTTCCCATTTTTTGTGTGTGTTAATTTGTTTGATTTTATTGTTTTATTTTTAAAGGCCCCCTGCGTCATTGCAAATTAAAGTACCTACACAGCGTGGGCCCTGGTTCGATGGTTTGGTTCGTATCTCGGATAAACTTATTGTTGTGAACTCCATAGAAGAGGGGGCTAGCTATGTCATTGACTTCACGCAAGTGAGTTCAATCTGAGCATGTATATTGCATAATTAAATTATAAGCTTTTTTGTAATTTAAAACAAAGAATGAAGTGATTGGCATTTCGTTTAGATTTTCCAGTGCTTATTGCTATTTCATTGGGGAATTTAGTTTTAATTCTATTTTTTAATAATTAAGTTGTCAATGAGTTTGCACTGAAGTTAAAGTAGTTTAAATTTAAACGAATTATACTGGAGGAAAATTAAGAAGTCCTTTTTTGAGTTTTGATTATTAACCCTCCCCTCTCTGTCTCCTTATTAAACGTTGTAACTTTATATACGACATGGATGGTTAAAATGTATTTATTTATTTCAAATGGCAGGCGTTTTGATAGCTCTCATTAGCCCTTTAGTTGACTTCAGACTTCACAGAGGGAAGGTTCATCAAAGTAGCAGAAAGTCGAGGAAGGGGAACAGAAGAACGATTCACATATGTAAAAGAGGCAGACTGACACAAAGGCAAAGAAAAGGGTAAGACGAGTACTGTGAAAGTGGTCGAATATGGCATACAGTAGGGCCATGGTAGTTTGAAGTCAGAAATCAACTGCCGGTAAATAGACTTTTTTTGTCGTATGATTATACGTTGCCCAGGGTGCACCACGTGGAGGTAAGTCTATCGCACACCCCAGGATGGTTAACATATATCTCAACAAATAATTGAAAATAAGTTGCCTAGCTTCTGTGGATTTATTTATTCTTCAATTGTAGGTTGTAAGCAAACTTTTCAATCCTAATATTGAATCTATGACTGTGGAAGTATTGGGCAAATTGCGATGGTTAGAAACGGAGGATATTTATGTTACTATCAAGGCTCGGCCTGGTGTAGGCGCTGTTTTCAGCGGCAATAACAAGGGTGGTGTCTGGATTTACGATGTTTTCCGATATGTCTCTAACGGTGGTCCTCATCCCAAGTTTGACATACCGCCTATCAAGGTAAGACTTTAATAGTATAGCACGTTGCTATCGGTTTGAAATTGTTCATCAATTCCACTGTGATACGCAAAAAGTATTTGGCTGTGTTTGGGCTATTTGCCTTGAATGTAAATTTATTGGGGTAGTTTTGGTCTTCATATTAGTACCCATCCGTAACTATCAGAGTAATCGAGGCTGAGGGCCATAAAGTGACCAAAGTAGAGTTTTTTCCAAATATAATTAAAAATTTCTTTATTCCTTATATTAAATTAAACATATTCATCAGGTCAAGATTCACAATCAATGGAAATCAAAACTAATCGATTGGAAATATGCTTAAGACATACACATCAATTACACGATCACAGCTCATTTAGTAGAGGATTTCAATTAAGATTCAGGATGAATTGAAAATGTGAGTAGACGATGTTGTGGAAATAAAAGTAATTACAAATTTGAAATGAAGTGAAAATTTTTAAATGCCTATTCAAGAAGGCAGATTAACTTTAGTGTTTTAATTTTATGAATTAATACTTATTTATATCAATTTTCAGGCTTTATGGTAACTGTTATAATCAATTTAGTTGACTTCGAGCTTCACACAGAGGGGAGGAGGAACATCAAAGTCACAAAAAGTCGAGAGGGAAGAGAAGAGTGATTCACAGGTATAAAACAGACAGACACATGGTTGGAGTGAAAGGTAAGGTGAATACTCTGGAAGTGATCGAGCACGACGAACAAACGTGTCATAGTTTTTTGAGGTCACCTGCCGATTTATAGACATTNTCCTCAATTTTCCTCTTGCTGTGCTTATTAACGAACTTCAAATAAATCTTTTGTAGTCAAAACTCGTATATTTGATGCATGAAATGCGAGTTATTGTATCTGAAGTAATTCTGAATCGATGACGTGAATTTGATGAAGTTTCGATCACTTAATTAATTCAATAATTAATTAATTTGATGTACATGAAGTTTGAGCATAATGCTTGAGATGTAAACTTAAGAAAAAAATTCTATAGATATTTTAAATTAGATATTTCATGACAGCATAAGGCTATACTAATTCATTTGGAGAGAACTTGAAATAGACCAGGTATAGCCTAAGTTCGTATTTGACCATGTAAATATGCACGATTCCCATAAAATGCATTAATGAATAATGGATTTGACACTTTTTAAACTAAACTGATGAGAAATGTAGAAAAAGTGTGTTATGTTCTTATTATTTATTAATATCACACACTACACACTACACGCATAATGGAGTAAGCGGAGACGTGGTTTAACGGCTCACATCAAATTTTATTTTAGCCTGTAAATAAAAAACTTCTAATCGCGCTATTGGGACACATTTTTTTCGTGATTTAAAAATATTAATATCTACTGAAATTATCAATAGGGAAAATTGTAATTAAATTTAAAAAAAAACTAATAACGAAATATATATGCCACATTAATGGAGCTCATCGGACGCTCTCAAAGAGGACAGTATTTATTTATTTATTTATATCAAATGGCAGGCGTTTTGATAATTATCATTAGCCCTTTAGCTGACTTCGGGCTTCACAGAGGGATGGTTCATCAAAGTAGCAGAAAGTCGAGGGGCGGGGAACAAAAGAGCGATTCACATATGTAAAAGGGACAGACAGACATAAAGGTAGGGAAAAAGGTAAGATGAGTAGTGTGGAAGACATAAAGGTAGGGAAAAAGGTAAGATGAGTAGTGTGGAAGAGGTCGAATATGACAAGCAGTTGGGCCATGGTATTTTGAAGTCAGAAGTCGAATTCCGGTTAATAGACCTTTTTGCCGTATGAGTATATGTTGCCCAGGGTGCACCGCGTGGAGGTTAGTCTATCGAACACCCCCCAAAGAGGATAGTTAAATGGGAGAAAATTTTTTCAGCCCAATTTTGCGATCTGTAGCTACTATTACCAAACAATTAAGAAAATCTATTTGTCAAATTCGTAATTCTTTATTCCTTAAGTACAGTACTTTATAAGCCTTTTATTTTATCACTTACCATTGTGTGGTAACGTTCTTAACGTTCTACCATTTTAGCTTTTGTGCTCCACTTTCCGAAGTTCTACTGTGAATGACTGGAAGTTTGAAAATTCAAGTCCATAATTCCAATAGTTACAAATTGATTGAACCTCGAGCATAGCCATTTCCGACATTTCACCAGAGGTGGGAACAAATTCACACTGTTTCCTTATTTTCCATTATTAAGTTCCGAATAAATCACTCTCTTGTGTAATTTACATAACATCTGATTATGATTTTAAAAATTACCTATTTTACAATCAGGAATCCCAAAAGAGCAGAGGAAGGTAAAGATTTGATCACCACTTTAAGGCATCAAAGTCTGCTTATTGATGAAAAAATATTATTATAATCCATTATTTAGTAAAAAATTTAAGCATCAATGGAACGGAAAAACAAATGACATAGTCTAAGTATAAATAAAATAGAGAAACACTAACCTCTTCAATTGGTAATTAGTTTGGGGATAGTCATTTATTGAAGATGTTTTAATATAATTTCAATATTTTTACTAAAAAATAAAAAATATCCAAAACTTTGCTTCAATTCCCGTTCCTATTTTTTTTAAGAATTACTGTAGTTAACAACTATTGAAATTAGAGAAAGAAGAAACTTCCATTTTATTTGCATTAAGGCCTTTCATGATTGCAGTCATTTCTGCATCTTCTACTACTAATTACTTCTTCTCGTTACAATTTTCGGAAGCTGACTGAAAACCTTAAAGCGTAGTGTGCAAAATTTTTAATGTTAATTTTTAATATTAGCTGCAAGATTGAATTAAAATTTTAATTCATATTAGCTATTTCTTCCATAAGCTTTTGGTAAAAGTTGCAAATAACCCTTCCTTTTTAACGTCCCAAATAAATTAATTCCATAATACTTTCAAAAAAGGTGTCTTTTTGGGGGTATGCTTCGTTAATGCCAAAATCATATTTGAAATTAATTACCTTGGAAAGTATTTATTTATTTCAAATGGCAGGCGTTTTGATAGCTATCATTAGCCATTTAGCTGACTTTGGGCTTCGCAGAGGAAAGGTTCATCAAAGTAGAAAGGCGAGGGGTGGGGAGCAAAAGAGATGTAAAAGAGACAGACAGACACAAAGGTAGAGAAAAAGGTAAGATGAGTACTGTGGAAGGGGTCGAACATGACATACAGTGAGGTCGTGGAAGTTTGAAGTCAGAAATCAACTGCCGGTTAATAGAAATTTTTTGCCGTATGAGTATACGTTGCCTAGGGTGCACCACGTGGAGGTAAGTCTATCGCATACCCCACCTTGGAAAGAAAAATATTGCTGTCGACTAAACTAATGAGAACAAATAAAAGTGAGTCTTAAGAGAATTTTTTAATATTTTTAAT